GCTCCACATAGCTCCTTCACTAGCACCAGTTCAATCACTACAACTTTCACTTTCCGTATCAAGACAAATCCTGATTCATTAATAACACCTTTATTATCCTATTCGAGGTATTCCAACTGGAATTGTATCGCTATCGACCCTGTCTGTCTGTCCGATCACATGTTCATCAACCAGTCTAGGAGTTGTCACGATATCATCGTGACAATTCAGACATCGTCAGTTGTCATCAGCGAATGAGTGGTGACCGGGTAAGATTAACGGTGTTGACCAGACCACACACTAGAAGTTGAAGGGACGACGACGTTTCGGTCCGTCCTGGACCATTCTCAAGTCGATTGTCAATCGACAATTGAGAATGGTCCAGGACGGACCGAAACGTCGTCGTCCCTTCAACTTCTAGTGTGTGGTCTGGTCAACATACTTCAGCCACGTTATTGTGACTCATCGCCTGCACAAGATTAACGGTAATACAATAATAACAATAACTACGTCCATGTCTGAGGCGGTGACTTGAATAACCAGACAAAGTAGCGTCATGGCTACTTAGACTTGGTTAATATTAGCACAAATAACGTGTAGCTAGGTAGAGTACCTCGGATCGATAACAGGTAGCAGGCTGTACATCTGTGGCGAGGGTCCCATAGCCTGCAGCACTCGGGGTAGGCGGTTAGAGACACGCTACTTGCCAAGAGAGAGAAAGGAGCTTAAGAGCAGTGAGCTGGTTATAAACACAGCCAGATAAGAGAAGTGGAGTTGGGGCTAAATATATGCTACTTACTGCTAGCTCCTGCAGGGATAAACACATGAGTTATGTCTTAATAATGATTTATTTATTTAATTTTCATTAATATAGAAATAATTTATATGTATTATAAAAAACAATGTACGAAATAAAATGTGAATTTCTGGGTGCTTGCTTGCTTTTGTGTGGGGGATTGAGTTTCGACTCTTGGGCCCTGCCTCATACTTTTCAACTTTTCCAGCTTTGATATGTTCTTGATCTTTGTGTACTCACCTAGATATATATATATATATATATATATATATATATATATATATATATATATATATATGGAGGTTGAACTCCTGCTCTTTGGTCCCGCTTCTCAACCCTTAATCGACTGGTGTAAAGGATCCAGAGCCTATTAGGCACTGCCATGACAACATTTGAATCTGTATATGGAGCCTGCCTTTTATACTTAACTGTTTGGAGCATTTGTTTACTATTCTGACACTGGCAAAATATTTCTAATATACATGAGCTACCATTGTTCGTATGCCAGGCATGCTCTCTTTTTCAAATTGTCTCGTAGTCTACTTTCCCAATTCCCGTAAATATTTTGTATGTGGTGATCACGTCTTCCCAATTTATATTCTCCTTTTGTAACGTAAATATTATTTCATTTAGTAACTGAGCTTAGACTCTCCTCATTAATCATACCCCTCAGCTCTTGGACTAGTCTGGCGGCATGGCTCTGGTCATTCCTCAGCTTCGTTTTGTGTTTAACGAGGTATAGTTGTAGAGGGTGTGTGTGTGTGTGTGTAATTTCCTAAGTGTGTAATTACCTAAGAGTATAATTTCCTCAGTGTGTAATTACCTAAGTGTAGTTACAGGATGAGAGCTACGCTCGTGGTGTCCCGTCTTCCCAGCACTGTCATATAACGCTTTGAAACTACTGACGGTCTTGGCCTCCACCACCTTCTCACTTAACTTGTTCCAACCGTCTACCACTCTGCTTGCGAAAGTGAATTTTCTTAGATTTCTTCGGCAGCTTTGTTGAATTAGTTTAAATCTATGACCTCTTGTTCTTGAAGTTCCAGGTCTCAGGAATTCTTCCCTATCAATTTTATCGATTCCTGTTACTATTTTGTACGTAGTGATCATATCGCCGCTTTTTCTTCTATATTCTAGTTTTGGGATATCTAATGCCTCTAACCTCTCCTCGTAGCTCTTGCCCTTCAGTTCTGGGAGCCACTTAGTGCCATGTCTTTGCACCTTTTCCAGTTTGTTGATGTGCTTCTTAAGATATGGGCATCACACAACCACTGCATATTCTAGCTTTGGTCTAACAAGAGTCGTGAACAATTTCTTTAGTATTTCGCCATCCATGTATTTAAAAGCAATTCTGAAGTTAGAAAGCGTGGCATAGGCTCCTTGCACAATGTTCTTTATGTGGTCCTCAGGTGACAGTTTTCTATCTAGAACCACCCCTAGATCTCTTTCTTTATCAGAATTCTTAAAAGATTTCTCACATAATTTATAGGTTGTGTGGGGGTCTATGTTCTCCTATTCCACATTCCATAACATGGCATTTATTCACATTAAATTCCATTTGCCAAGTATTGCTCCATATACTTATTTTGTCCAGGTCTTCTTGAAGGGCATGACAATCATCTAAGTTTCTTATCTTCCCTATTATTTTAGCATCATCAGCAAACATGTTCATATAATTCTGTATTCCATCTGGTAGATCGTTTATGTAGACAATGAACATTACCGGCGCAAGAACTGAACCCCGTGGTACTCCACTTGTAAATATCAAATCCAACATGGAGGGGAACATCCCCTTCCCTCATATTCGTAGCTTTCTTGTTTAATATGTTGATAAATGCATGTTTCCAGGATGAGGTTTACGAATCTACAGGTCCAAAAGTCCTCTGTTCTAGCTCCATAAGCGTGCGTGTGTGTGTGTTTAGAGGAAATTATAATTATATTTGATTTGTTTATATACTTGACTGTTGACCGATGACCATAGAGCAGGAAAAGAAAGAGCCAAGGCTGGGGCCATCCACTTTGGATTTGAGCTTATCTATGATACTCTTTAGAGATTATATGATATATCTGTTTATATACTTGTTTTCTGGTATCTCTAACACGTAGATATGTTAAAAATATATAAGCTTTGAAGAGTGGATGAGTTTAATAAAGATTATAGGTTTGGTTAGGCTAGACAAGCGGGAGTTATGAGAGTAAAGTATAAGTCAGATTACGCTAAAATGGATAAGATTAAGTTGAGCAAGATTGATATTTATTTCAAATTCATAAACACATTTTACAGAGCGAGTAATTACAGACGTTAAGTACGAGTAATATTGGTCATTGGTTGTGCTCACAAGCTGATCATAATGGCTACTCTCAACGGTGACATCCAGTGGACGCTACCGTGTGTAGCTTTCCAGGATCAATGGCCCTACGCGGCCCGGTCTCTGACCAGGCCTCCTTGGACACTTCTCACACTCATTTCTGTGAGTCTACGCCCCCTCCTCACTCTGCTATTAGGCAACCCATCCTTCTGTTTACATAGTATGTTTTTGTAACTTTGTGGACCATCCTACATATATTGACGTAATGGACAATTAGATAGTAGAATTTGGTACGTTTCACTTTATAGTCCTGAAAAAAGTTAAAAACCAAACTTAAATATTCCTAGGCCTAGTATAGTCGATATATGTACTATAGTAAGTCTCAGATAGCGTGTATTAGGCCTAGGAAGGTTGATTAGGTTTTATTAGCAACGTAAATACAAAACCTTTTTCGGTTTGTCTCATGTTTTTTCTTTATTAAATAATATACAATATAAAGATCATATTTGTCCCAATTCAATAGTACTAAAATCTACTTTCTAATTGTCCATAACGTCAATATGAAGTCCTCACTCCACACTCTGCTGTTATGTCAGCTCCACACCCCTCTGCTGTTATGTGAGGTCTTCACCCCTCTGCTGTTATGTGAGGTCTTCACCCCTCTGCTGTTATGTGAGGTCTTCACCCCTCTGCTGTTATGTGAGGTCTTCACCCCTCGCCCTGCTTATATGAGAGCCTCCTCACTCCTTACCCATCTATTATGAGGGGTCCACATCCCCTCACACTGCTATTATTACAGGAGATTTTTAAATACTACCACATGTTAACTACAAATGATTTGTACCTTCTCAGACACCATCTTAAAGGGACTTCTGGTCATAACGCAAAGCTCATAAGATCTGATCTTATCTCAGCACACCTTATAAATGTTTATTTCATGTAGTACTTCTTTTACAAGGAATTCTGAACCTATTCATCACCAGCTGTGATCTTTGAAAGGATTATGACCTAGTTAGTATCATTAATGAACATAAAATAAAAGTCCCATTTCTTGTATTAAAGAAATAGCCTTGACTTTTCCTATGAAGTTCAGGTAACTTCTGAACTTTAACAATAAGAGGATTTTAAACCCTCTGTATCATCACTTGAATTGTTCTACCTTTCAATGATCTTAATAGGATGCCCGACTATGTACAGAATGTACATAGTCGGTACTTTGTACAGAATTTGGCATTGGATTCATAAACGCCATACAGACAGTTGTGTCATCTATTATGTAACATCGTATGTCTCCAGAACTTATATATCTAATTAATCAAGTTAAGCCTAGCAACGATGTAAACTTAATTACAAGTTGTCTCCACATATTATATCTGTTTATTGGCTGTATAACATATAATATTAACCTAAGGCATTGAAATACACCACAGACACAGTAAGTGTTCAATCAATACCCAGCTGTAGAAATTTAATTACAAAAATCACAAAAGAGAGAGAGAGAGAGAGAGAGAGAGAGAGACGGTCTCTGGATGACTGTCGTTGTTAATATATATATACAAAGAATCAGGAATGAGAAAAATGTATATTTAACTTAATTATGATTAAGAGTTGAGTTGTCACTGTGAACGTCACCTGCAATAGCCTCATTGTCTAGCTAAAGACCAATATATATATATATATATATATATATATATATATATATATATATATATATATATATACTACATGTTGATTATGTGAAATTTTGTTGAATAAATACATTTTAGAACAATGATTCGTGCCTGAAATATGGCTTGCTATCTCGGATGCTAGTTCATTGGCATATCATAAATTTAGAATATAAAAAATTGTAAAACGGTAAGAGAGTTACAGTGACAAGTGCCTGAGCTACAAACCCTTCCTTTCCTCCCCTCTAGCCTAGCACAAGCGGCCACCAGGTGTTCACGCAACACTCGTAGCACCAAGAGTTCAGCGCAGGATACAACAAGTTCAAAATTATACTACGGGAACAGATATGAGCTGGGGGACGAAGTGCAGGACGACACCAACTGGGAACGACACTACCTGAGGACGACACCAACTGGCAACGATATTAGTGGGAACGATACCAGAGAGGAAGCGTCAAAGAGATTGAAAATGAAAATTCTAAAGATATATTTTGAGAATAAGAATTCAAGTGGAACGTATCTACTGGCCAGCATAAAGATAGGCGAGTACTTGCACACGCTCGTTGAAACAGATATACTATCATACAGTTACTTAGTTCTTTAATATATATTATGTTTTAGGCATGTTGGAAATAAGTTCGCCTCCTAGGGACTTGTGAGTGTTGCAACTTATTAAAATAAGTCATAGGTTCAGGTAATGGCTCTGTGATTAAATCTACCTTGTATGTCTACCAGATGACATAATATCTATGATGTGTTGTTATGAATATTTTTAATCAATGTAATAAATTCTTTACCTCTGATCTTAGTAATTGTTATACAAAACATTCATAAATATGTTTTTTTTAACTGTAAATGTGCGTATATTAAGTGAGCAAATGAATTTATCTGCTTTACAGATTTCTTCATAGCTTGCAAATGTATTGAAAGAAACTTAGTTTAATACACGAAAAACAAATAAACGGGAATTATTTCCTCACGAACATAATTGAATACTGTACTATCGCCGCCTCCCCCTTCCCCCGCCCCAGCAAGGGCCACATCCTCACTGCATGTTGACTATCAAGACTATTAATTATTGTCAAGTCGTTTGTAGCTACTGTCCGACGACGGGGCTACGACATGTTTCTGTAGGGCACAGCAATAAAGCTTGTTATCCCCGGCAACGGTATGCGTGGGTGAGCCTTATTGAATCACGCCACACAACTTGAATTCCGATGCATTTGGTTGGCTACAGTGACATTTTTTTAAGTGTATATAACTTAAATATTTGTCAGTATCACGGTGCTAAATTAATAATGTTTAGCAGACAAACATTTTGATGCCTTTTTTAAAGGTGCTGTTCTGTTGCATAATTCGATTACACAATTATTTTTTATTAAGACGAGGCTGCAAAATCTTTCTTCATCCGGCATGCATGACTGGATCCTCAGTATCTATTAGGCTGTTAGTGGACATGGGTGGTGTCGTGTGGTGGGGCCGCGGTCCAGCAAACCACACCGCAAGTTATAAGGACTGTATCAGCCTCCCATAAAGATCCTCCATGCTATATATAGCCTGTGAAAACAAAAAACAAAAAGGTCGCAACCAGAGAAGTTACTCGCGAGGGAGCCGTATTTAGTGTGGTCGAGTGCTCTTGTGTTGGGGACGGGCGAGCGGACGCCACCCTCGTTGGGACATTATCTTGCGACTTTCACTGTAATTTTAAGGCCATCACCATCCTCTTGAGCCATCGCTGCTGCTTCACAAGCCGCTGACGAAGGTGCGTACTAAGACAATATCAACGGGAGGGGGAAGGGAACATGTCCAACGCGGCCAGAATCACAGAAAACACTTGGACACTTTCGAGATCTGCAATTCTTACGTCTCAATTATGGCCGCTGTCTGTGCTTACCAAACAGTTTACGAGGTCGTCTGCGAGCTCGTGTTATTATTGTAATGAACGACCTCGTCACCTATTTAGCGAATACCAATTAGGCTGCCATGATCGATGTAATGGGTACAGATCATTTAAGAGCTTCGTGCCTCTGGCTATCACTTTTCACGCTGATAATTGGTCGGAATATTGCATGCAATGTCAAACTCGATCGCAACAAACGAAAATCATAATAACACGTTAAGTAAATGAATAAGTATTTTTGGCGTTTGCTAAAACAAAATTATCCATGGCCTTTGAACATTACACTATTGATCTCATAAACAATTAAAGCAGGCTATATAAACCTTGACTTACGAAAAGTACTTTAGAAGGTAGACATTACGTTTTGAGAAGTAAATGACAATTATTGAACAAAAAGTTTTATATAATTAATTTCAGTAAAGTATTACTTCTCAGGATACAATGAGGAGGACGTTGACATAGTTACCCGTGTCTTCACTTAATTTAATTTATCCTCTTATTACAGAATTCAGAGTAAACATATGTTTTAAATATATACATTACTCAGGCCCTGTCAGTCAGGGATTCAGGTTTGAAATAAACTTAAGAAAATCCAATTCCTCGGTCGGTCAGGTTATAAATTGACGTCAACAGTCTAAACTTAACTGTCTCTTAGGAAAATAATGTACATAATTTTTTGTAACTTTGTAATTCTGTAAATCGACTATAAATGTACACAGATTTATGAACAAAGTTTCTGAATTTAAATACTGTGAACACTATGGCAGACCAGATCAGACTAGTGTTCTTAATTATTTCCATTATATTCAAAATTATTTTAATTCATCAAACGATAATATAGTTTTATATATATCTTCAAACAGATTATATATTCGTCTATATAGTTCCATTTTCTCGACTTAGAAGATTCTGTTTTGCAGTGTGTATTAATGTATAGGAGTGTTTATATTCAGTATATTCAGTAAACATAGGGCATTACTATAACTGGAATTTTATTACAAAAACAAGACTGAGGAACTATATGTCTTTAATGTTATTTGTATAATGAATGAAAGTGAATACAAGATCACAGAGGGAAATTATTAAAATTGCTGGGCCAGGAACAAATATTATTTCAAATTAGTTGTCTTTTAATATTTTAAATAAGCCAGTGATATCGTTAATAATAAGAAAATATACAACCGTACGATAATGATGTATGGCTTATGGCCCATCATCCTCTGGAAGGTTATTACAGCTCATCACCAGAGCTTGCTGATCAATAGACAGTTTTTCAGCTTTAGAGCTACTATGCTTTAGCCCTGAACAGAGAGAGCCCAGGACTGGATAAGTTCTTGCTATATTAATTGGTATGTCTTTATTATTAGAAAACTTGATATGTAGCAAGTTAAAATATTCAAATACGATCATTGATCAACGTGTAGTAAAGATCAATGGCATTAGTCCTTGAAATAAAATAAATAATGCCCTGGTTTGAGTAATTTGTGAGTTGCCACCACGTGAGTCTAATGGGGGTATCGTTGAATAAGCTATCGTACAGGTATTCGTGTCTATCAACGCTACACTTGGTCGGAAGTGCATCTGAGGTGTATATACTTTACACAAAACGAAACCAAAATTCTAATATAAAGAAATATAGACAAATTAAAAAGGTAGATATCTATATTATTGTACATTTTGTGGCGTCATCCATATATAACCGTACAAAGGAACTTGACACTAATATGACTTAGGTAGAATATTGCAACTAAAACTGTACATGCACACGCTCTATCAGTAGTTCTATCTAATCAAACATGCAAATGATTGATTGCATCAAACTTTTAAGTAACCTCTGCTGAACTAAAGTGTTCCGTAACCCAATAAATTACGATTGTATAACTTTCACGACTTGTTAGGGGTCCAGGATGGACTAGACCGGTGTTACTCTTCATTACACAAGAAATGAAAGTCTGTTTATAATTATATCTTGAAGTTGCAATTAAAGAATTTCGAAAGTGTTAAAAGTGACCTGATCTCCCGTTCTCTTTATTAAGATGAAGAAAATGGATATTAAGGATAAACCATGAAAGTGATCAAATACGTCAAGATAGTTGAGCAAAGCTCGAAGACCTAAACGTATAGAATGGGGTAAAAACATTTATAGTTTTGTTTAACAAAAAAATGATGAGGTATAGCTTCTATGAGGTACAATATAGGAAGCCCCATTTTCCTCATACATAACATCTTGGCGGCAAGAACAAAGCGACCAAGAACATGGCTATAAGAACAAAGTGATCAAGAACATGACAGTCAGAAAGTGGCAAGCACACGACAGAGTATCACGATATCCAGGCTATGTTTTCCCTGTACACCTCACAAGATGACAAGCACGCTGCTGTGGCGCTACACATCCTGTCTTTTGTACCGTGCAGCATATTCTGTCCTGCACCCTGCATCACATCCTGCCCCCCCCCCCTCCTTGCACGGCGCAGCACATACCGTCTCTTGCAACAAACATGCATCTCGACTTGCGTTAACTGTTATCTTTGGCACACATAACCTACACGCTATCTTTGGTGTGCCTTCGCCAACACATGCTACATGAGTTCCAAACTAAATAAGTTAACATTAGAGGAATAAATCGTCACCCCAAACCAAGGAGCATCACCTTGGTATATACATATACATATATATATATATTTATACATACACTATACGCTAGCAAAATACAAAACGAAAATCAAGACACTCCTTGCCTATTGGCTAATATATTTACATGTTGTTATTGTTTTAGATTCAGCTACTCTGGACAAATTGTCCATGTAGCACGGGCTATAGTGAGCCTGTAATTGAGTTCGGTTATTCACGATAACCTTGTTGCTGTGATATCTGGGTCAAAGTTTTAAATGTAGGGCGAGTTTCCTACTTTTCTCACTGAATCTTTCGTTTTTTTTTTAGTAACATTTTCTTGGTGGCGGATATAGATGCACAATGTTCACTAGTGTGTCCCATTCTTCAACTGCTTGTTTAACCATTGTAGTCGCTGTTATATTTACATATAACTTATACTAATATAGTACATGGATCGCTTGACTTTTTGTAGTGCCTTGGGAAGACGCATCGAAGGTTTAAGCGAGCTACTGGCTGACCCCATCAATAGATTTCCTGTTCCTCTTGCATGAAGGGCTTTCTGGGCGCTTTGGGGTCTCCCATTTGGTGTTCCAGGAGGGTGGACAGCTGACAAGAGGGAAGGTAGCGTCCCTGGAAGATTATTTTCAAAGACTGGTCTCACAACAGTTATTATTTTAAATCCCTCATTTGATCTTCCATGAGAGATGTTCGAGTGAGTGTTGGTGAGTGGGAGTGAGAGGGGGAGAGTGGCCTTGGAGGCTGGCACCAAGGCTGGCGGAGGTCACGATGTGGGGCAGCAGCATATTGCTGGTGGCGTAGTGAGGGGAGATGGAGGTACTGGAGGCCAGGTGAGACGAGGTCGCCGCTGGCACCTGGCTGGCTGACGCCGCCACTCCTCCAAGGGAACTTCGAGAGGCGAGGGTTAGCCCACTGGTGACGTGCTGGGGGGCCGTGTGGTCGTGCTGGGGGGCTGAGTGGGCGTGCTGGGGGGCTGAGTGGGCGTGCTGGGGGGCTGAGTGGGCGTGCTGGGGGGCTGAGTGGGCGTGCTGAGAGTGGGCATGCTGGGACGAGACTGCGTGGGACTGCTGGGAACCTGAGTGAACATGCTGGGCGCCTGTGTGGGCGTGCTGAGTATTAGAGTGCGCGTGTGGGAGAGATGCGAGGTCCCCCAAGCTCCCTCCTGCGCCGGGCGAAGAGGGTTCATCCTTAACGCAGTACTGGAGAGTTGTGGCGGCGGTGGACTTGAGTCCCTGGAGAGCGTACGAGGGCAGCATGGGAGGCAGACATATAGACGCAGTCGACACCGCCGGGGAGGTCGTTTGCGGTCCGTACGACGGAGGCGACGACGATCCGTACATAGTAGACAAGTACGACCCCATTGATGGCTCCGACTTCACTGTAAACAAATTTGGGAATTGTTTAATTTTTTATTAATTATATTTGAATAAGCATTTTAATCTACGTGTTCATATTAATCTTCCCCCCCTTTTTTTATGTCTATATGACATTGTAATTCGTATATACAATATGAACCACATCTGTAAATAATAAAAATAGTTAATATAAATAAAATTTGTTAAAGTATAACCCTTCCAACAAAAAATAATATATATTATTAGTATATTTTGATAGCAGTCTTTCTTGTGTATTTTGGTAGCAGTGTTTTAACAACATATATATATATATATATATATATATATATATATATATATATATATATATATATATATATATTAGTGTACATTTAGCGATGTGCACAAAATATAGACTGTTCTATATGTACAAATGAACGTGTAGTACTGTTGTAGTACTAAATGTCACTACCAAAACTGCAATAATGTGGTCAACAACCTAACCTATCTTAGGCCTAATATAAGCTGTCCTAGGCCTCATTTTTAGACCTAATGTGGTACATATATATGTGTGCTATCTAGGCCTAAGAGAGGTTAGGGGTGTTGAAGACTATTTTATTTTTGTCCTACAAACTCAATAATAAAAAACGTGACGTTAAACGCTAATTTTTGTGAATAAGCAAATTACTTACCGTTGGAGGCGGAGGAAATCTGGTATTTGGAGGTGGAGGTGGTGGCCAGGGAGGAGATAGCGGAGGAGGAGGAGGTGGTCGAGGAGGAGGTGGAGGAAGCCATGGAGATGATGGAGGATGATCCGGTGGTGGAGCAGGAGGTGGTGGAGGCGATGGCGGTCGCAGTGGAGGACGAGGACGACGATGATGATGATGACTTGCTGTCACTCGACTTTTTGGGTTTACGCTTCCTAGTCTGTCGAGGAGAGAGAGAGTGAGCTTAGTACTGTTGTTCACCCTTGAGAGGGAGCTTAGTGTTGCTGTTCACCCTTGAGAGGGAGCTTAGTACTGTTGTTCACCCTTGAGAGGGAGCTTAGTGTTGCTGTTCACCCTTGAACCTCACCCTTGAGAGGGAGATTAGTACTGTTGTTCACCCTTGAGAGGGAGCTTAGTGTTGCTGTTCACCCTTGAACCTCACCCTTGAGAGGGAGATTAGTACTGTTGTTCACCCTTGAGAGGGAGCTTAATGTTGCTGTTCACCCTTGAACCTCACCCTTGAGAGGGAGATTAGTACTGTTGTTCACCCTTGAGAGGGAGCTTAGTGTTGCTGTTCACCCTTGAACCTCACCCTTGAGAGGGAGTTGAAGGGTCACATTGAACCTCAAGAAAGTTTCTTCACTGCCCCACAGTGGCACCAAAGGGTCTATCTGGTCCCCAGATGATTTATAATTAGTATTGTGGATTTATGGAACAAATTAGCAGGTAATATGACATCCCTAGAGTGTTTCAAACGTAGGCTATACATGCACGAAATTAGGATTACTAGACCTGCAGTTTGCTCTATTTTATATTATATCTAAGCCTCATTTTTGTACGACATAGTCTTACATAATTTCTGTAATAGTGGACAGGAATTTTGTGCTTAGGCTTGTACAGAAGTAGAACTACTGACCTTTCCCAGGATGCAACCCACTACAGTTGCCTAGTTCTCGGGACACCTATATACTACTAGGTAAACAGAAGCTTCAGGAGAAGAAAACGCGCCCAACCATTCTATCCCGCCCGGGGATAGAATCCTGGATTATGAGTCGAGAACGTAGACTACTCTACTACAGGACCCCATGCATTGCAAGATAGCTTTATCGACAAAGGTAATTGATTTTGAAGAACGACTCACCTGAATGCTTTCTTTCTTCATGGTTAGAGGTCGATTGACATTATGAAGCTTGTAATAGAGACCACAAGCGTTGCAGACGGGGTCGCCCTGGCTGTTCCGGCGCCACAGTGACGTCACCGTCGTGTGGCAGTTCGTACACATCTGTCCCATTCGACGGTTCCCTGACTGATGACGTCACACAACAACAAAATTCAACGTTAGGCATTTTGTCATTTTTCTTTTGCGGTAAATTGTGTAATTTGGTTATACTAATTTTTGTTTTTTGCTTTAGGCATTTTGACGTGAATTATTAAAAGATGTATAAGCAATTATGAAGTGATTTATATAAAGATTTATATAATGATTACATTCAATTTCGAATTAAATACTCAGATATTTACAATTATGAAGTGATTTATATTAATATTTATATAATGATTACATTCAAATTCGAATTAAATACTCAGATATTTAGCTATGAATGTTCGTAATAATGCAAGATCATATAAAAATTTTGATAAATTTGCAATTAATGATCTTAAAACACCTAATTTGTTAGACATATAAATGATTCCAAAAAACAAGGTACATACAGAACACTATGATAGGGGGAAACAAGCGTTCAAAGCAAGCATGGCAGCGTTCTGGCAAGTTTTTCCTCTCGTGATTTTGTTGACCAAAGTTGATATTTATAACTTGAGTTGATTAGATAAAAGAGCACATCCTCCCCAAGTGATAGTACTTACAGCAAATATTTGGTCCAACGTTCAACAATGCTGTTGAAGTCAACAGTGTTTACGTTTGGTATTATTAATTTTGTAGAGGGCACGTAAAAAAATTTTTTTTAGGCCTGGTATAGCATATATATGTACTATATTAGACCTAGTATAGCATATATATGTACTATATTAGGCCTAGTATAGCATATATATGTACTATATTAGGCCTAGTATAGCATATATATGTACTATATTAGGCCAAGTATAGCATATATATGTACTATATTAGGCCTAGTATAGCACATATATGTACTATATTAGGCCTAAGGTAGCGTACGATTGCTCGTTTACGTCTTGGACTGATTAAGTTAGCTTCTTTTGTTTTCCATTTTGTAGCATGTCATAATGGAATGGTAGAAAACGTGAACGGTTTAGAGTCCAACGGTACATTTTCGTACGTTTGACCAAATAGTTGAATGAGTACTATAATTATTGGCGCATGGGCTCAGATAACATTACAAGTGCTTGAAACTCGATAAACGTTAAAAGTTGCTGGAATGTAAAGTGTTGTTGAGAATATTAGGATGATTTTATTCTCATTATATATATATATAATCTCCATCCCTCTTTATCTCTGAAAACTCTTATTATATTCTGAAATCAAACCCGTCAAAATATCATGCATGGATACAGAGAATGTTCGAGGAGAATTAGGATAGAATCGAAGAAGGAGGTTGAAGGAAGAGTGGAGGAGGAGGAGGGGTGTGTGCAGGGATAGAGAGAGAGAGAGAGGGGAGGCAAGTGTGGGTTGGCCATGCAGAAGCAAGCGGTGGGGAAACCTACCAGCCGTCTGCTCTTGATGGAATCATAAGCCCTCGTCTGGAGTCCATAGTAGCCGTAGTAGTCGTCAACTGCAACAAGCAAACGGGAAGGAGTTAGTCGCAGTGTGGGTGAGAGAGACAGATAGAAAGGAGGGGAAACAAAGGATAGAAGAAAGCAAGGCAATCGAGAGATTGTGTGGGTCCCCCACACACCATGGATGACAGGAGCCAGGGGTCTGCATAGATGACACAGCAAGGTCCATCCCTATCCTTTTTTGCCCCATTATCTCTTAGCCATCATAGTATTGGGATGGATACGAGACCAGCAGAGAGCAATAGCTACATGTCTAGCAAACTCTGTTCTCCCTGATTCCCCTCATCCAGTGCTTTTGTGGTACCAGAACACTAGCAAGCAGAAAACATTTTATATCTTTGACGGCGACATGAGGGACAATGGGGACCCAATCAACCTCCAAACGGGTCATAGCCTCCTGCCAGTGTAGGAGTGTGAGGAGATGGTGTAATCAAGCGGCCGAAGGTTATGAAGTTATTGCGGGTTGATGCTGGCAGAGGCTGCAGGCTACGCACGCCGCTGTGCTATAGTGCTCTGTTGTTTCCATTGCTACAAGGTTTTGCTTTCATTAGGCGAGAGAAATCATCTTCTCCCCCTTCCCTTAGTTGACTTACGAGGCGTCGTGTGGGCGTCTTCCCCAGCGGACGATTGATGCCGTTGGTACGGGTGTAGAGGGCGCAAGCGTTGCACAGGTAGTGTCCGGTGGTGGCGTCCCTCCTCCAGAGTGGAGTCTGGGAGACGCCGCAGTTGACACACTCTCTGCACTCCCAGGTCTCCCGCAAGGTGGAGTCCACTGTAGCACCACCATACACATACACCGGGTTAAAGTTGGGGCTAACTGACCCAAGGGTAACTCTACCTTATGGGAACTTAATTATGGCTTGCGTTAGATTAACTCTAGTTCATGGAACATACAACTATAACCTGTGTAACGTTAACGCTAATTGAGGTTAATTATTGTCTGCGTAAGGTCAACGCATCAATAAAGGTACACGCTAGGCTATCCATGCACCTGGAGTCTAGTACTTAAATGTTATCCACGCAAACCATACATTTCACAACAATTTAAAATATCACGCCTTAATATAAGACTATCTCGAGTTGACCTACCTGAATTACCCAAATTTCATAAAATCCCGTTTTTTTATGTCCATTGATTTTTGTCTTCATTAAATAATATACACTATAAAGATCGTATTTGCATCAGTTTATAAGGGAAAATGCTACATTTATATATATATTTTATATAATTCTCAGTAAACCAATTTTCCATATTGAGGCTAATTCTTCTGTAGTCATGACACGATACATACAAGTAACAAACCTAGTTATGCTAGCGGGGGTTGAGCTTTGGCTCTTTGGTCTCGCTTCTCTACTGTCGCTCAACAGGTGTACAGATTCCCGAGCCTACTGGGCTCTATCATATCTACATTTGAAGCTGTGTATGGAGTCAGCCTCCACCACATCACTACTTAATGCATTCCATCTGTTAACTACTCTGACACGGAAAAAAATCTTTCTAATGTCTCTGTGCCTCATTTGGGTACTAATTTTCTACCTGTGTCCCCTTGTCCGTGTTCCACCCGTGCTAAATAGTTTGTCTTTGTCCACCCTGTCAATTCCTCTGAGAATTGTGTAGGTGGTTATCATGTTTCCCACTGCTCTTCTGTCTTCCAGGAACGTGAGGTTTAGCTCCCGTAGCATTTCCTCGTAGCTCATACCTTTCAGTTCTGGGACTAATCTGGTGGCGTACCTCTGAATTTTCTCTAATTTTGTCTTGTGTTGAACTAGGTATGGACTCCAGGCTGGAGCTGTAGGCATGACACGATACGTTCATACATCTGACAGTCTCTCTCTATTCATGTCACGAAACCTACATACAACTGACTGCCTGTCTGAAGTCATGTCATGTGCCGTCTCTTTAAGTCATGCAAGAATGCCCTACACAACAGTACCGTGGGTCACAAACAGCCTATTGCATCTTAAATGTATTATACAATATAGAATATATAATTTTAATCCTAATATATCCCAAGATTATATAAATTGAGAGGTGCAGCCTACCTCTTATATATTGATTTATTTAATAATTTGCATCATTAAATGAAAACATAATAATTATTACATTGAATTTGTAACTTAAATATAATTTGTGCTTTATATTACTTGCAGGTAATATATTTAGATGAGAAATTTTAGACAAATCATATAAATTGGTTTCTTAAATCTTAAATATTTTCAACATCATTATATAACTGTATTTGTGCCATGTATCGCAAAACTGTATTTATAATACTTATATGATTATGATAATTTATGAATCAATATTAATTATTATGGATAATTACTAATATTAAAATAATATAATATTAGGCTAAATTAATTTGAAGGTAAAGGTCCAGTAGCAGACTGTGTACTGTTTGTTGATTGTCTAGTGAGCAGATGTTTCTGTCCTGATATGTAGGTTCATCCCCACTTCCCCACCATGTCACTTTTCCTCACACTACTCCTCCCTTATTCCTCCCCACACCTCTCCCCCCCTTACCCCAGTTCCTCCCCTCCTCTCCCCCCACCACCTGCTCCCCCCCCCTCCCCCCCGCACCTTGAACAAACAGCCAGGCCACCCAACACCTCACCAGCCTAGTTACCCAACACCGTCGCTCTAAGCTAACTAAGTCTCTCCTCCAACAACCTTATCTCCAGCGGTCAAGACCATGCTGGTGCCACAGATAAGCCTTATCACCAGTGGTGTAGGCCTGCATGTTGGATGCGGTCCTGCAGATAGGCTCACCATAGGCTCGGTATCCATATCCCTCCTCCCCCACCCTCAGCCACGGTTGGCTCCAGAAATTAGAAATATTAAAAGTTTGGAATAATTTCATGTGTGCGTAACCTACGAGTTCCGCGTACATAGAAAATGGGAACCGTTTCGTTTATTTAGATCTTGTTAATGTTTATTTCCTAATAGAAAAGATTTATCTATAATAATGTGACGAAAATACATCTGCGCGTCAGTAAACTTAGCGATCCAGGATTCATCACGCATTCACAGATGCACATACGAAACCTGTGCATCTTTCCTCAATCACGGGGATTTTGTTTGTGTATTTATTAAGCAGTTAATGAATTCCCAAACACACGAGATTGTTTATAATAATAATAACCTTGAATTGTGAAGTCTCGAAGCTCGACAAATGTGTAATCATTGTAAACAAAGCCGCTATTATTGAGAAATGTAATTAGGTTTAGTAAGTGTTTACGTAAATGCTTGATCAATTTCGTTCCATATCGGGTGTGGTCTTAGCGACTGGGCCAGGATTTACATTTACACATCTACTTACGAACCTGTACATCTTTTCTCAATCTTTGGCGAGTTTGTTTACATTGCTTTATTCAACAGTTTATGAGTTGCTCAGCACAAGGAGCTGTTGATAACAATAATAACATTTTATTGGCAAGTTTGAATGCTAGTAAAGTGTTTTAATAAATTTAAAGCCGCCAAATATTGAGAAAAGATGTACTGGTTCGTAAGTGGTTGTGTAAATTGTTGATGTTTCCTGGCCCGGGTCGGGTGTGGTCTAAGGATAGAAGAAGCACAAGGATAGCAGTAGCACATGAGAATAGAAGTAGCACATGCTAATAGAAGTAGCACATGCTAATAGAAGTAGCACATGCTAATAGAAGTAGCACATGCTAATAGAATTAACACTTGATAATAACAAGTACCACGTGAGAATAGCAGTAGCACTTGAGAATAGAAATAGCACACGAGAATAGAAATAGCACATAATATAATTCATAATTCAGGAAAAATTGTGTTATTATGTGATAAATCTATAATTGGCCGAAACACTATGCGTACTAGTGGCTTTAGGTATTGTATGTACTATCTCTATCTTTAAATCCATAATTATGTATGTAACTCAATGGATGTACCTTTACCTGAATAAAAAAAATCTAAATCTATAATATAGCAAATCGCTGGAAGCCTATTGTCCCATTCGAGGCCGGCCCTATTTACACCCAAGAACGTTCTCTCATATATATATGTCTATCCTACGCTTGAAACAATCCAAAAATCCCACGCCTCTTGTGTTGTAATTGGTTTCCTAAATCCACAACCCTGTCTTTAAATCAGTGTGTATACCCAGGTATTTTTCCTGAATCTAAATCTATAATTGGATAAATAGTTTATCATGTACTATTAGTTGAAGCAACAGCCAGTAGTAGTAGTAGGAGGAGGAGGAACGATAGTAATAGCAGTAGCAATATTAGTGGTGGTTGTAGCAGAGATAGTATTCAGATAGTGTAGAGATAGTGATAGCAGAGGTAAGATCACCATGCTTGAGGTGCATCAGTGTCCGGATATAACAGCTACCTACGAAAGTACTATGATATCTTCATAGCTTTTTGATCTTACTGCTTAACTTTTGGCATTTTTGTAAAAGGTTATCAACTTTAAATATGTTAATAGTATCCAGTACAATAAACTGGGATAAAAGAAAACACTATTATAAGTTTATACAAATACACGCTCACTGTCTGTTGTTGCACAGCCACAGACTCCACAGAGTCACAGGTTCTACATGACAACTACTTTATACAGAAAAACAAATCGACCAGTGAAAAAAAAACAGATAAACGTACGATAGCACGCTTGGAGATCTGCAAATATCAGATACAAATTTGGTAAACATCATCTAGAAACTTCCAGAATTCTATTAAAACCATATAGATTTACATCTTACATTTGAATAGCATTTTCAGACATTCAGATATAACTGAAATCATCTAGTACATCTTTAACTAACAATGCATACGGTTTTGACAATCAGAAAAAGGAGCTTTATCCTACCGTCTTGTGTACGACTTGACCAAACCCTCTTATGGGCGTGTTGACGCGATGTCGTTGTTGGTGAATGATCACTTGTTTGTTCTGGCCTCTCTCTCTCTCTCTCCTGTTGACACTAAAACTTTGACCCATACCCGCCAATAGACCTAAGCCTGTTCTCTGTTGCTTGTGATTGACCTGACTAGTGACCTCTGTCCCAAGACGCTTGAAGCCACACAGCGTGGCTTTTAACACGTGTGAACCAACCACCATTGCTGCTTCTTTACCAATGGTGGTTCTACAAGCGTGTCTAAATTATTCATATGACTCTTATGGGTTCACCTGCGGACCCATTATTCATATGGGTCCGCAGGTGAACCGTTAGCTTCAACTAAGCCTTATCAATCTGGGTCAAATCAGATGAATAATTATAACCCAATTTTCTTATGTTTCTGGCTATAATGCCTGATATAAAAAGATATCTAAAAGACCAAAAATGATGATTAAAAAGCGTGACAAACATAAAAACCTGTTTGTTATTACGCTAAATGACGCTTTAAACCAATCCAAATCTGCCTATATACACCCTAGTCCAGCGCTAGGCTATGGAAATAATTGTCCTCGCTGAATTCAGTTCAAACCAACAAATAGGACCAAATTCTCCTTCAAGGTCTGAGAGGGGCCACATGTATGGGTACTGACTGAGCGTGTGAGTGATATGTTAACATAGTACCTGTCCCCACAGCCGTGAGGTTTATGACAAGGGGGCGAGGGCGGATTATAACTGAGGTACTCCTGTTTACCCGGCTTAAATATGCACCTGTATTGACTGGAGAAATTGGCTAATAGCAATTTCTTTCTTGAGGAACGGATCATAGCTGTTTGTTAATTGGCTCTACTTGTGGTCTGTGTACCTGGTCTCTAGCGTTGGTCTGTGTATCTGGTCTCTAATGTTGGTCTGT